ACATTCTGAATTTCTCACATTGTTTCATTATGGTGTCATTTCACATATTTTTCTATTCCCTGCAATTTTTATACATTAAAAATTAGGTCTAAATGCTTAATTAGATTCAGGGTAAACATTTTTATAATAATAGTTCCTTGGTAGTACAAGCATTTCATACTGCTTCACATCAAGAGACCAGGAAAGGTTGTCCCACTATTAATGATACTAAATTTAATCTAGTATCAGTTTGATCTCTCTTGCAATGACCCCAGTACTTAAGCTGGTTAAGTGAGGATATTAGAAGGGCAAAGGACAGTGAAAAGGTGATAGGATTGATGGAGCACAAACTTCAGGCACAGAATAGGTCTAGACAAGGCAAGTATTTCCAAATGTTGGGGACCAATTATTCCATTAATTGTCTCCTCCATATTTCTAGTGCTCATTACTCTTGAGCCTGGCCACAGACGTGTGGGTCCTTTAAACTCAGAACACTTACCACTTACGAACTTACTTCCTGGCTCCTTTCCATTTTGAATAGACAACAGGTTTGCTATCTTTGGAGATATCTTTTTACTTTAGTTATGTTTAAAGAATAATGACTCCAGTTACCAGACAACTAACACTACCCTCTATCCCTCTGAGCTTGGGGACTCCCTCAGTCTCTCCTCAAGATGATAAATCCTCACTCTCCCAATGTGTCAGTATAACATCTCCCTCAACCGGTGTTACAGTGCACGAGCTCAGGCGGGGCGAGTTCTCTAATGTGCTACTGAGTGCCAGAGAGCTCTGGGCCTGGTTCTTCGTTCTTCACCAACCTTCTCTTACTCACTTTCCCAATTTACTCTGGTTAGATAAAGCCAGCCTGCTTTTGATAAAAGACCTAGTTGAAATTGCTTGTCTGCTCGCCCGTCATACTTGGCTTGCTGTGTGTATCACTTCTATCTTGACAGCTTCGTGCTTTGCCAAGGCTGAGCCTGGGACTCAAAATAACTGAGATGTTGGTGCCCCCTAGCGGACACATTGATTTTTAAAGTTGGGTCTTTATTAACTAGCACTTCATTTGGTCTTAGTTTGGGGCTTCTTGTTTTCTTTTTTTAAAATAAACATTGTGATAAAGGTGAGCTGTATTTATTTATTCATTCATTTTTAAATATGTTTTTATTGATTTCAGAGAGGAAGGGAGGGGGGGAGAGAGAGAGAGAGAGAGAGAGAAACATCAATGATGAGAGAGAATCACTGATAGGCTGCCTCCTGCGTGACCCCCAGGGGGCACCGAGCCTGCAACTTGGGCATGTGCCCTTGACTGGAATCAAACCTGGGACCCTTCAGTCTGCAGGCCGATGCTCTATCCACTGAGCCAACCCAGCTAGGGCTCTTGTTTTCTTTTTAAAATTGATTAGTAATTCCTCAAAATAAGTGGACAAACATACATCAATAGAGAACCACATAAATAACTTATTTTATGTAATAAAAACATAAATGGACAGGCCAGTGTGGTTAATGTAGTATACAAAAGCTCCAGGAGTCAGAGCAAGAAAAATAGTGTTCGGCTTGTCTTCTAAACACTAAAAAATTTTAGATACAAATTTGTGAATAAAGAATAGACAAAGTACTTCCTATCCACTTTAATTATAGAATGAGGTCAAGGAAGGTAAGAAAAGCTAGAGTTCTGAAATCTGTTAAAAATTTCAGTCTTCTCTGTAGCATGATTTTTCTATACAGGACAAGATTTTAGCTGTTTATCAGTCAAATTAATTCCCTGAAATATAAATAGAAGCATCTGGAGTTTTTGTTTTTGTTCTTGTTTCTAGGAAGAGGGAAACTTGTCCAAGAGTTGGGATCATTTGATGAATATTATCTGGAATCAAGTCAAGAGAACATTTTCCTTAATACAGAGTGTTTTGATTTGAACATATAATTTTTTCACAAGTAATTTATTCACTTAATAATTATGTTTTCATTTCTTGGTATTGCCATTATTTCAGGGCCTTTCTTTTAAAGTTTAAATAGGACTATGGAATCCATCACAAGTGGGAGAGTTTCGCTAATTAGCCTAACCCGCTCAGCCAGCACAGAGTTGTTTTGGCCCAATGTCTTCTATGAGAATGTGTTTTTCACAGGCATTAACCGAACAACCTCATTAAGGCAATGTCATTCTTTTAGGAGCCAAGTGTCAACTTTGACAGGGAGAAGCAAGTGTTAAGATGGTCACTCCAGCCTGTGTAAGAACTGGGCTCACAAGGACAAGTTGCATGTACTATAGCAGCCATACCCCATGTTTGAGAGTTATGTGTTCAGGAAACGCTCATAGTAAGAGATTTTGCAGTTGAGAAACAAAATTTCAGTGGAGAAATGAGGAGGAAGAACCAAAGTTGCTTGCAGTAAACACATGAAAACTTGAATAAATATTAAGTTCACACAAAAAATAAAATAACAACATTGTATAAAATGAAGGTAACACCAATGATATTTTATGCCTCTTGAATTTGCACAATTGAGCATTGCACAGTTACTTTCCATCTTCTATCCTTTGCACACCGAAGAAAAAAAAATCCAGGTTTTCCTCTTTTGTAATAAATACCAAAGAGATGTTTATAAATATACGCTGCTTTCTCACAATAATGTGCATATTTTCTTCCTATTCCTCTGCTCGAATGTGCAGTCCCTTGCCAATGTTAAGATCTATCTCTGAACTCCTTTCTGGTCTCAGAAAGATGGGATAATCTATAATCCTCAAGTGGAAAAAGCTCTGGGGATCTATTTTAACTTACCTAGCAGACCTGTGTGGATTCATTCTCAAGCCCCAAGTCAAGAACTATCTCACTGCAGCTCTGCCTGTGGCAGATCCCCACCAGCACACACACGGACAACCCTCATACATGGCTTGCCTCCCGCCCTGTTCACACAACTGAAACACAGACTGATGGCAGTCTGCCCCGCCTCAGCTATCCTCACGTCTCCCATAGCTGCACTGCAGAAAACCTCTGCTCTTTCTCTACTAACCACTCTGCCCCTTTTTATTTTTACCTGTTTATTTTGTTATTTTTAACCCTCACCCAAGGATAACCTTCATTGATTTTAGAGAGAGGGGACAGGAGAGAGAGAAACATCGATTGGTTGCCTCCTGCACATGCTCCAACCAGAGACAGGACCCACAACCTAGGTATGTCCCCTGACCAGGAATCGAACCCAAGACCCTTTTGTGCATGGGAAGATGCTCCAATCAACTGAGCCACACTGGCCAGGGCTCTGCCCCTTTTTAAATTCTCAAACTCCGGTCGCTTTTTCTCATACCTGCAAGAAAAATGGCTATCAATCTGAATATACTTGTGTGGAAATTTCTGAAGTTGCAGAAAATATATGTAAAGAAGTAAAGCTGCCTATGCTTACATTTTGTTGGAAATTTGCATTTGGCCATGTTGTCCATATATAAATACTGTGACATAGGCCTGGTAATTTAAAGCGCCTATTGTCATGCCTCTCGGAGTTGGAGCATACTTTGTTAGCAATGAAGCCAGGGGATGATAAATGAGACCTGGTTTGTGCCCGAGCACTGACTCTGTGGTCCTCTGTGTACTCCGTATTCCTGTTGTCTACCCAGCAGCACAGGGGTGGCTGCGGGCCCCTACCTCAGAGATGGCATGTTCTGGATTTAAGTATAACAAGGCTGGCCTTGGAGGGAGAAGGCTGAGCTGTGGCCTCTCTTGCCTCACTCAGCCGCAGCCATGCAGCCCTGTGAGTGAGGATTTGGGGGTTTGGCTACCTGCACCTCTCTGGACCTTATTTTGTCTGCCTAGTATCCTCACTGCACTGACTTTTTTCCAGATACTTTAGATAACCACATGTGATTTCCCCAAGTGGTGTTTGTGCCTGGTCTATGCCTACAACACAATATTGGCATTTATGAAAACAATGGACATACAAACACCACATGTCCCGCTTACTATCTTCCCTGTCCTCTGATAAACATCCCATCTGTCTTCACACACCCTCCATCTTACTCACCAGACAGATAACTTATTAACTCATGTCAACTTTGACGTCCAGTCTCCTGACCCACGTTGTTCATGGCCCTGGCCATCACTTAGCCCTCGTCCAGGAGGCCTGCTTCTCTTGGGCCCTACACTAACCTATTTTCCAATCTTGGCCCCTTTCCACAGAAAATGTAGTGACTCACAGCACTTCTTAATTTTTCTCTTGGTAGAGGAAAAAAGAATTTATTCCCTCTACCCCACAATTCTCAACTTCATAAATTCCCAGCAGACTTTTCCTCCCAAGAGTCGTCCCCTGCCCAAATCCTCACACACACAACAATTCTCCCTCTCCTGTGTTGCTTGCACCCCATCCAATAAACCCACCCTACCCTTTATCCTAAAGAGAATAATTTTCCTGTTATCCTTTATCCTTCTGATTGTCAAATTACTTAAATTATTCATTTATCTTCCCAGTGCCATAGGTTAACATCTAAGCAGTTTTTCAAAAAATTGATTTTAGAGAGAGAGAAGTCATAGACATGGACAACAGTGTGGTGATTCGGGGGGAGGTGGAAGAAGGCTTAGCGGGGATAAATGGTGATGGAAAAAAATAAAATAAAATAAATAATTAAAAAAACAGCCCTGGCCGGCTTTACCCAGTGGTTAGAGAATACACTTGGGTCAGGATGTGTGCAGGAGGCAACCTATCAATGTGTCTCTCAGATTGATGTTTCTCTCTTTCTCTCTCCCTCCTTCCCTTCCACTCTCTAAAAATCAATGGGGGGAAAAATATCCTCAGGTGAGAATTAACCAAAAATTAATTAAATAAATAAAACTTGAAAAATAAAAAAAAAGAAAGACATTTTTCAACTGGAGAGGGATGTTCTTATGCTAAGAGAAGTGCTTATTCAATATGAACACTAGAAATCATGCATGGCATGTAGCTCAACATGCATTTGCTAAGAGAGCCACCTGTAATCAAAATCATCACCAGGGGTTCTCCTGATCCTTGAAAATTAACCCCAAGGCTTGCTTTCTCTGCAGGTCCTCAAGCATGTTCCACGTAATGAAGCACAATCACTACATCTCCCGATTCGGCAGCAAACTTGGGCTTCAGTGCATCGGCATGCATGAGAATGGCATCATATTTAACAATAATCCAGCCCTCTGGAAAGTTGTTCGACCTTTCTTTACAAAAGGTAATCAGGTGCCTGGCTACCTCCTGCTCTTGTCTGTGAATGTGCCTTTTTTAGAACTCATTCTTAAATTCTGCTGCTTCAGTTTTGAAATAAAGATATGAGCTAGCGTGCATTATACATTTACTATATAGTAGGCACTGTTCTAAATACTTGATATTTTAATCCCACAGTAACCGTGGGTGATAAAACACTCTAATCACCTACACTTCACAAATGAGAAAACTGAGGCATAAGGAGGTTAAATAACTTGCCCATGATCCAAACATTCATAAATGGTGGCCCAGGAGACAACCCAAGAGCCTACGTTTTTAACCACAACTTCCATTCCTCTGGTTAACACACAAAGCGATTTTATGGGCATGAAGAAGAGATAGAGCTCTAAATTTAGGACCATTCAATTAAAAATTGAGTGTGTCTGCCATATGTTTGATTTAAACACAGCCAACAATGTGTTCGCTGCATCACTGGCTGACATCCAGATGTTTTAAAGAAAGCAACTTGTGAATTTAAAAGTAGGAAGGACTCTATATGTCACTTCATCAGCCTCTGAGTTTTATAATTGAATTCAAAGTCCTACAGAGGTTGTGATTTTTGTCCAACATAGCAAGTCATGGATAAGCAGAGACCAGAACCCAAGTCTCCTTATCTAGTGAGTCCCGCTGGAAATGAAGCTGTTGGGGGATATACGTGACCAGACTTTGATATTAACATCAAGAAACATAGTCATGCCTTGGAAATGTTGTCAGTGATGGCAACTGGCTAGATGATTTTAGGTCTGACCATGCACCATCAGTATTCTTTCCTCCAGTCAGCCTTGCAGGAAACCCAGATGTCTCCTGCATGGCTGCTGAGACAGGGAAAAGCTATGCCTGTTCCCGCTGGGTGCTGATTCCCCTCTGCTGAGCTGTCCATCATGAAGACTCACCACAACTCTGTTGTAGACTCTGTTAGTTTCCCCTTGCTACTGTAACAGGTTACCACAAACTCGGTGGCTTAATACAACACATTGTTTTACAATTCTGTATGTCAAATCTGACATGGGTCTCACTGGGCTCAAACCAAGCTGGGATGTGTTCCTTCTGGAGGCTCCCTGGGAGATCTGTTTCTCTGCATTTTCCATCCTCAGAGGCCACCCACATTCCTTGGCATGTGGCCCCTTCCTCTGTCTTCAAAGTGGGTTGAGCCCTTTTTATGTCACATCTCCATGACCATCCTTCTGTCATCACATCTCTTTCTGACCTCAGCTTAAAAAGGTTTTCTGCTTTTAAGGACTTACATGATTAGGAGGGCCCACCCAGGTACTACACAATATTCTCCCCATCTCAAGGTCCTTAATTTTAATGATATGTGCCAAGTCCCCTTTTCCATGTAAGGTAACATATTAACAAATTCCAGGGATTAGGGTCTGGACAACTATTCATATTGGGGCAGATAAGTCCTCTTATGCCTGACAAAATTGCAGAATATGTTAATGAAAAGAGTATAGGATACAGGATTATAGGTTGTGGATTCTATTCCAAGCTCTTCCATTTTACTAGTTATATGACCTTGGACAAGTCACTCAGGGTCTCTGAGCTTTAGTTTCCTTATCCTTAACAAGTAATAAACACTAGAGAACTTGAATTCTAGAGTTATTGTAAAAAATAAATGAAATCATGCTGTAAGATCCTATAGAATATAAGTTTTATTTTACTTTATCATTTGGTCCAGTTATATTAGAAATATGTGAACTAGTACTTAGGAGCAATTAACTATCATATACCATTATTCTCTATTCTGACATGCAAGAATTGATAGAATCTCTAAACTCATCCATTTGTTTAACAAACTACTCTCTTCTCATCATTGAATTAGGTGCCCAGAACACAATAAGAAACAAGATATGATCCTGGCCCTCAAGGAATTTATAATGGGAGAGGGAGCAGAGTACCTTGCCAGACACCCTCCTCAATAATGTGTATGGTTGAGGCGTGTGCAGAATGTACAGAGCACAGACCAATAGGCCATCTAAAGCACACTGAGAGGCCCTGGCCAGTGTGGCTTAAGGACTCTGACTTTAATAGCAAGTCTGAATAATAAAAAACATAAAAAGGAAGATTGCTCTAAAGCTTAAAGATACTTAGAACAAAGAGAGAAAGGGGTGCTTTAAGAGTTAAACTCTCAAGATAGATCATCTACCATCAGAAGCCACTAGCTACTCAGATGGTAAGGAGCAGAGCAGGGGGTGAGATCAGAACCAGTGCACTCTACCTGTCTTCATTCATTCACTCATCCATTTATGCATTCCTCTATTCAACAAATATGTTTTGAGGGCCAGTAAGTACTATGGACCTGAAGTATAGTGTTAATGGCAGGTTGTCAATGCCCTTAAAGAATTCCCAGTCCAGGGGAAAGACTGCTAAGCAAAGAATCGCTTAGCTATTATGACATTGTTTAAGTAAAATAAATCTGGAAATAGTTTGAAGAGATACCAAAATTAAGAGAAAAGCACTCTTAATAACTTATAAGACTAGCATTTTAAATATATAAATTAAATTTAAAAGGAACCACATTAGATGAAATAGTTAAGGTAGAGTTTGACTAGTTATGTAGCAATATCCTGCCTCCTGTTGAAACATAAAATAATATCACCCTGGACAAATCTAAACCTTCTTTAGAGAAAAATATATACAATAAATATGAAGAAAACACTAATTTTTGATTTATGACCACAGTACTAAATGTTTCACTTGCAATCTCACAAATGATTTGCCATAGCATGAAAAGTTTAACTTTGAATAGTTTGTTTAAAATAAGATTTGTTCATCCATTCATTTTTAACAATAAAGATGATCCATTCTTATAGAATACTGGGAGATTAAATAATATGAAAATTTTATATTTATTTTATATGTGTAGTTATTGAATAAAAAAGTGTAGATGATTGAGCTCTAAACATAAAAAGCCAAAATCGCCTGATTGTGTGTATCCTGGAGTTCACAATGGCTCACTCTCTGATGTGCTCCCTTCAGCTTTGTCTGGCCCCGGCCTTGTGCGCATGGTGACAATTTGTGCTGAATCGATCATAAGGCACCTGGACAGTTTGGAGGATGTCAGAAGCGAGTCGGGCACTGTCAACGTGCTGACCCTCATGCGGTGCATCATGCTGGACACCTCTAACATGCTCTTCCTAGGGATCCCCTTGGACGGTACCGAAATCTTCATTCTCATGACTTGACATTCTGTCCTTTACTTAACAAGGGGATGAGAGGCCTGGCAGCCTCAAGTAAACCATGCTGTTTTCTACATGTTCTTCTTTCAACATCTCTAAGGTTTCCGAAGATATTTTTTCCCAGTGTGTCTGCCTTGTTCACTTATAAGATATAAATTTCTGTAAAGCAGGGCCATCTATTTCTTTTGTATCTCTCATCATTGCTCTAGGAAACAGAATTCTACCCACAGTCAAAACTCACAAATGTAATCAGTTCATTTGGTCCTCCCACCAAGCAAACTGATATATTTAACCATTTTCAACCATTCTTTTGGGGCACGATACACACACACACACACACACACACACACACACACACCTAAATATACATACACACCCCTTCCTCAAAGCTACTAAGCATGAAAACTTTGACTCTGTATGATGATGATGGTATTGTTTGCAGCTGCAGGAAATAAGTACAATAGCTACAATTAATTACTTTAGTATCTACCATGTACCAAGCAGTGTAAAAAGTTGCTTTACATACAGTCTGTCATTTAGCATTTTTAACAACCCTAGCAAGATGTCTCACTCAGGAAGCCATTTTCCTTACTACTATAGAAAACAAACATTAAAACACATACAAGCAACTCTACCACCACCTAAAACAGTGGTTCTCAACCTTCTGGCCCTTTAAATACAGTTCCTTATATTGTGACCCAATCATAAAATTATTTTCGTTGCTACTTCATAACTGTAATGTTGCTACTGTTATGAATCGTAATGTAAATATCTGATATGCAGGATGGTCTTAGGCGACCCCTGTGAAAGGGTCGTTCGACCGCCAAAGGGGTCGTGACCCACAGGTTGAGAACCACTGACCTAAAAGCAAACATTAATTACTGGGCTTAATTCCATTCTGTTATCCAGCTTCATGTAATTCTCCCTGAATTAATTTTTGCAGTGTTTATTGATTCATCTTTTTATACAACAGATATTTATCCATTGCCTATTTCATGTCAGGCACTAGGTTCTGGGTATAGAACAGTGAACAAGACAAAGTCCTTGGCTTCAGGGAGTTTACATTTCAGTGGATATACGGACAGTAAACAAGTAATTATCTATATATACTTATTGTACTATATAACAAGCAATATAGCAAGTAATACTATTTTGCCTATAATATATTAAGCAATAATAAGTGCTCTGAAGAAAAAAACAAAGCGAAGTGAAGGGATAGTAAGTGAAGGGACAGGTCAGTGGAAGTGGACATGGTTCTCGGGGAGAGAGTGGTCAGGAAAGGCCTCTGCAGAGAAGACAGCTGAACATAAGCCTAAGTGAAGTGAAGCCACAAGCCACATACAGACCTGAGGGAAACATTACAGTCACGAGAACAAGACATAACTTAACACTTGCCCACACCGGCTCTAACACCTGCTGCCTGATTTACCACATAGGGACTATAGACAAGCCCTAAGCCCTCCCTCTCTCTTCTCCAGCTCTCCTTGCCTCATCTCCCTGCTCTTCAATTACTCCTCACAAGAGCCACAGGAGCCCCCATTCACTCTAAGGAATTTTAGTCACACCTTCTTGCCTGATCCCCTCTCAGACAGGGGCTCCAATCCCAGCTTGCCTGTTTTATACACATCTTTCCTCAGGTTTGGCAGGAACATATTTTACAGGTCCCTGCTCCTTGGTTCCCTGCTAGCCTAGATTCTTAGGAAGGATCATGTAAGGGAACTACTGTATAAATGTCTGTTAACTTATGGATACAGACTGTGATGCTAAGAACCTGTATAACTCATGCAGAGTTATTTTATTTCCCTTCTCCTCCCCTGGTCCTTGATAAACTCTCATCTCAGGGACCCAATGAAGAGGAAAGAACATTGTCCTGGGGTCCGACAGAACTGGGCCCCAGCCCAAGGGCGGCTGCCACACTGGCTGTGTGGTACTAGGCAGACTTCTCAATCTCTATGAACTGCAGTTTGTTCATCTGCCAAAGGATGACACTATCGTTCCCCTAGAAAGATTGTAAGGATCCAGTGAAGTCCCTTTTGCAAAGCATCTTGCACAGTGGCTTGCATTTAGCAATTGAAAATCAATGTTTATTTCCTTCCCATTTGTATAATTTGGAAAAAGCCGGGTTTTCTCTTCCCTAATTTTCAATTTACTTAAAAAACATTTATTAAGAGCTGACTATGCACATGGTTCAAGACAAGCACTGAAGACACTAAGATGAATTCTACATTCTAAACCGAACATAGATATGAAAGCTATGTGAGGAATGCTATGAAAAAATGTGAATAAGGCACAATGAGGTGAGAATACAATGAAAAGCTATTAATTAGGTACATAATCCAAGTAGATTATTCACCTAATGGCTCTGCGTAACGAACACCAAATGAAGTTTAAATGTGGCTGCTGGCTGCCTAACAGGAGAGTGGCGTGGCTTTTTGCCCTCCCACATGCCAGAACTGAGGCCACAACAGCCATAATTACCAGTGTCCCTTTTATTCCTCACTGTCCAGAAAAACAGGAGAGACATGGATCATGTCAAAGAGGGGCATGTGAGATTTGAGACTCTATTTAATACTTAGTTTAAAACTGGCAAATCTCTGGTCAACTTGGCCAACTGAAATGCCAAGCAGAATAAATTAGTGTGTTGCCTTGTCTAGTGTCAATAACATGACTAGATCGCCCGCTGAAGGTGGAACCTTGCCCAGCTTAGAACCCCAGACTGGTGGGAGAATCTACAGGGGTCTTTTCTGCTCAGAGTACTCTTCTTGGGCTCATTTTTGCTCAATTCCTCTATTCTTTTTTGTTTGTTTTTCCAGAAAACGCCATCGTAATTAAAATCCAGGGTTATTTTGAGGCATGGCAAGCTCTCCTTCTCAAACCAGACATCTTCTTTAAGATTTCTTGGCTATACAAAAAATATGAAAAGTCTGTGTAAGTAACACAAGTTTGGAAAATTTGTCTGTGAGATTGAATTGTTTTTTCATTGTGTCTTTGTTATTGTTTCACTCTTCAGCAAATTTTCTGGCCACCAAGAGCCTACAAGAAAGATGATGATTAAGCTGCTGATGTAACACTTTCTACATCAATTTGGCTGATGTGGCTACCCATGGTCGGCAAACTGCGGCTCACGAGCCACATGCGGCTCTTTGGCCCCTTAAGTGTGGCTCTTCCTAAGCCTTAGGAGTACCCTAATTAAGTTAATAACAATGTACCTACCTATATAGTTTAAGTTTAAAAAATTTGGCTCTCAAAAGAAATTTCAATCGTACTGTTGATATTTGGCTCTGTTGACTAATGAGTTTGCCGACCACTGGAAGCCTTGGGCCAGGGTGGCTTCTTGGCCAGGGTGGATTCTCAGCAAGGGGGTCAAGTGGGAGGTCTGAGAGCTCCATATCTGGAACTAAAACACTGCAGTGTATTTTGAGTTGAACAGAAGAGCTGGATGAACCTATTATTATCGGTCAAAATTCTCTTTTCATGTTTAGAAAAAAATGGAAACATGAAATCCTCTTATAGTTGCATCAACTTAATTCAACTTGTAGGAATTGACAGTAATCTCAAAAGAATTTTTTCATAGTGAACTTAAATAAAATGTGTGGGGTTATTTTTTTTAATTATATATCTTGTGTTTTTGAGGGATCCTAAAACCATCATTAAATGGCTTTGCTTTGATCTTAGACTATTCTAGCAAAAAAACTGGACAAATGCCAATGGCCTTAGTTAATCAATGGGTGGTTTGTTTTTAGTGTAAGTAGCCAGCCATTAAACACTGCCACCTCTAATCACCAGTGGAAAGCATGTGGGATTTAAAGGCAGGCAGACGTGATTTGTAACCTGTACCTATCACTTAGTAACTAAACGGCTTTGGGAAGTTATTTAAAGTAAAACAGAACCTGCCTTCCAGAGTGGAGATATAAATTCATGAGATCCTATACACAGGGCAATTACACAGAGCTTGGACCATAGTAGGCACTAAATATGTTAGTTTTCCCCTTCCCTATGTTCATCTTAAATTCCCCATCTCTAAAAGTTCCCTAACTTGAAAACCCAACTTTATCTCGTTCGTGTATTTTTAAGTTCAATAGTATTAGTCTCCAGAAAGGAAACCAACTTGATGTTGCTTTACATATTCTTATATGGTAAATGAGTATCAGGTTTGGAGACGTCATTCTTTATACATTTCATTTCATTTCTGCCACTGCTCATTGTGACTTGAATCAATAAGATAAAGGATTCATTCACTTCACTGGTGTAAGGTTTGGTGGTAGTTCTTGGTTTGACTTGGGTTGACCAGAAGGCCCGCAGAAACTCATTGATGAGACTGTATAACAGTTTCTCTTATGTTTCTGTAGAAATAGCTTAGCTATATATAACATTTGTCAGTGGTTAGTGCACCAGTTCATATCTCCTATGACGTAGAGCAGTAAAGACCTAGAGAAATCCTCTAATTTCCTCTCCTCCATGGCCTTGCAATAAAGCCAATATCTTTATTAAGGTATGATTGACATATTAGTTTCAGGTGTACAACATAGGGATTCGATATTTATATATATTGCAAAATGATCACCACAATAAATCCAGTTAATATCCATCACCATATATAATTTTAAAAAATTTTTGTGATGAGAACTTCTAGGATCCATTCTCTTGACAACTTTCATATATGCAATATAATGTTCTTTATTATTTATAGTCACCATCTTCTACATTATGTACCCCCAGGACTTACGTATTTTATAACTAGAAGTTTGTACCTTTTGACCACCTTCACCTGTTTGGCCTGTCCCCCCAGCCCCAACCCCCACCTCTCACAACCACCAGTCTGTTCTCTGTATCTATGAGCTCAAGTTTGTGGAGTTGTTTTTAAGATTCCACATATAAGTGAGATCATACAGCATTTGTCTTTATCATGCTAATACCTTAAAATATATATTTATGGAAAGGATTCTAGAATATCTACTTCCATCCTTATTTATTCAATTTTATATTTTTGCTTCTTTTAATTCCCAATATTCCAGCAATATTGTTTTCTACTTTTTATTTTGGCAAGTTTAAGACTTTTCAGTCACAGAACACTTTAACAGGTGTTTGTATTACATTTACTGTAATACAGAATACTGTTCCCTGAGATTGGGGAAAACACCCATGAACATATACACTTAAAGACAAAGCCAAGAATAATAGAATTTAGATCTCATGGTGGCCTCATTGTTCATCTAGTATAATCCCTTTACTTTAAAGAGAGGTAAGGCTCAGAGACTTACAGTAGGTTTTATAGAAAGAAAACAACCTGGATTAGAACCTCACCCTTGTCCAAGGAGCTCTTCCCTCCGCCACACTGTCAAAATGCCTATACATATTTATGCAGCCATACATTCATTCAATCATTATTTATTAGTATTTATTATGTGGCAGACACTGCCAGGTATGAGAATAAGTATTAAAATTAATGAACAGTCACTTGAGTTTACTGTGTACAACAGAAATCTCAAACTCAATAGTCTTGCAGGCCAGGCAAATAGAAGCGGGCAGGGTGGATATAGGACAACAGAAAATGGAGGTGCCCGGGGCAAACTGCAAAGTGCCTGTCTGCACTAGAGACAGTCACTGGTTTTGGTTTGGGGTTTTTCATTAATACACTGTGCTGGCCAAATAAAAAATCAGAAAACATGACTGGATTTAGCTTTTGGTACCAGTTTTTAATGCTTAACTAAAGGTTGCAGCCTTGATTTTCCTATCTGTGCCTAGAAACTCTGGTTCCTTAACATGAAGTATAATGTATCTGTAATTTAAGGATATTTGTGAAGAATTAAGTATAAATTCAGTTATTCATAAGCACTGATGGTTTCAATTACAGCAGATAATTTTATTTAAATAAATAGCAAATTAATCAGTTTTTTCTACATGTCTTAACTGAGTACAGATAGATTATATTTTGACTTTTTTTTCCAGCAAGGATTTGAAAGATGCCATAGAAATTCTGATAGAAGAAAAAAGACACAGGATTTCCACAGCAGACAAACTGGAAGACTGTATAGATTTTGCCACTGAGTTGATTTTTGCTGAGGTACTGACCTGAACTAACCATAATTCCAACACAACATATGTGTATGACTGTTTGTGTGTCAATGTGTGAAGATTTCCTCTTGTGATTATGTTGCAGAGTTTGGCTTCTAAGTATTTTGCTCCAGCTCTTCTATAATGTCCAACTCAAATGGCCCACTCATTAGACATTCTGGTGAGACTAACCTTTCAGACTGAAGCTACTGTGCCTGCAAAATACAAAATATGAAAATGGAAGAGTCCAAAGACACTAAATACATAGAAAATTTCCTATTAATAGTTCAGCTTTCAGTTGAAGATCATGAAAAAATGTTCATAGTCATTTAATTTGTATGATTTCAACATGTAATTTGTATGATTTCACTTTGGTGAGGTTGCTGACCCTTGAGTGTCATCTCCCTTCCTATTGTGAAATTTTTATTCACTTTTCCAATTTTCCTCCCCTCTTTCAATTATTCAGAAGCGTGGTGACCTGACAAGAGAGAATGTGAACCAGTGCATATTGGAGATGCTGATCGCAGCCCCAGACACCATGTCTGTCTCTGTGTTCTTCATGCTATTCCTCATTTCAAAGCACCCTAATATTGAAGAAGCAATAATGAAGGAAATCCAGAGTGTTGTTGGTAAGAATTCATCAAATAAAAAGGAATTAGAAAACAATTCCTTCTGAATATCAGCTTATGTCCTAAAAATCTGATGTCAGACAAAATCTTGTAATAATCCACCCAGAGAACAATAAAGCAAGTTATTTTGTCTCACTTTCATAATGCCAGATAGATTAAAAATATCGTTCTGTGTTTTATTTTATGACATGCTCATTGAAAAAAATCAAATGATAGAGTATAAAGTAGAAAGTGACATCCTCTAGTTCAGCGGTTCTCAACCTGTGGGTCGAGACCCCTTTGGGGGTCGAACGACCTTTTCACAGGGGTCTCCTAAGACCATCGGAAAACACATATATAATTACATATTGTTTTTGTGATTAATCACTATGCTTTAATTATGTTCAATTTGTAACAATGAAAATACATCCTGCATATGAGATATTTACATTACGATTCATAACAGTAGTAAAATTACAGTTATGAAGTAGCAACGAAAATAATTTTTTTTAAAATATATATTTTATTGATTTTTACAGAGAGGAAGGGAGAGGGACAGAGAGTTAGAAACATCGATCAGCTGCCTCCTGCACACTCCCTACTGGGGATGTGCCCGCAACCAAGGTACATGCCCTTGACCGGAATCGAACCTGGGACCCTTGAGTCTGCAGGCTGACGCTCTATCCACTGAGCCAAACCAGTTAGGGCAATGAAAATAATTTTATGGTTGGGGGTCACCACAACATGAGGAACTGTATTAAAGGGTCGCGGCATTAGAAAGGTTGAGAACCAATGCTCTAGTTCCTTCACTCTCCTCTCCAGCCTCATCCCCATTCCCCAGGGGAAACCACTGTGTTTTCTTTTTCTTACGTGCGCATACACACATCTCTATGGTCATATTTGTTTGTATTTTTAAAATTTTATCAAGCACAATTTTTTGCCTACCTTATCAGTGACAAAGGCTCTTGTGGGTTCAATCAGGGAAATAGCTATCGTTCATAGCAGTGTTTCTGGGTTTCAAGCAGTCCATTTACAAGCAAATTTCCAGTTGGTGGCAGAGGAGGAGGAGAGACGGGAGTGATGGACTTTCCTCTCCCCCAGTCCATTGGTGCTGGCCTCTCCTCCCTTAAGCTATTCCTTCTCTTCTGTAAGGGCTCTTGAGCCCCTGCTCAAGCAATTTTTACTACCTCTTCCCTTCTCTGCCCCAGCCTCAGCATCATTCTGCCCACTGCTCCTGACATCACCATCCTTCCATAGAAACGCTGTCAGATACAGAAGTCAGAATTGCTTTCTGAGAGAAAACAGAATTCCTTACTTGGAATGTCTTTCATATGGCTAATCTTTTTAGGAACATATTCTGACATATGTAGCAAGATATCAATAATGATGTAGACTTTTCTCTCTTGACCTTGCCCAATCCCTGTGAAACAAGTTATTTGGTTGTGGAAAGATACTATTTAAAAAATAATAATTTCATTGCTGCTTGAAATAGTTGACAAGATTTAAATATGTGAGGGAAGTGGTCTGCAAATGCATGGCTGTAGGTAGGAAACTGCCTGGCAATTTAGGTAACAAGAAGCCAGAATTGCACCCAGGTTCCAAATCCCAGAATGTCCCCGTTAGGTTACAGGTACTATGCCAGGTGCAGAGCACAGTGGTGAACAAGCCAGTGTCATCCCTGTACTCATGGGACTCACGGACTGGTGGGAGAAGACTTCAACAAGCAAACTCAGTGGAGTGAAGAGAGAGAATCATAGGAGATGTTCAGGGACTAAGTGGGAGGGGGTGGGAGAATTACTCTTGAGAACACGGCCTTTCATACAATTTCTTTGAGAAGTGAAAAGTGTTTGTGCCCCATGATGTCCCTCTGACACTTCAACAGACCTCTGCAAAGCACATGTGTCCATGTTGCCTCTAGGTAATTCCTTCCTAGGATACACCTTTGCTTACCTTCTCCATCATGTTCCCTTCTACCTCCTCATCCCAGATGAACACACTCCATAGACCCATTAGAGTGTACAAGGAGCAGTATGTGAGGGGCCGGGCTGTTAGAATTCTCTGACCAAATGAAACCTTTCCTGCATGGCATAGTTGTACAGGAGATAGGGATGCCTCAGAACCCTGGTCTAATTTGGATTCTGCAAAAAGTGGTAGCCCATTTGAGGACACTCTGAAGCTTTGCCAATTCTTGGAGTAATTCAAGCTTCTCTGACTAGTGTCAGGCCAGTCTGAGACCGTGGGGGTGTCCTTCAATCCCCAGCACACCTAGGGCTGATCTGAGGTACCCATTTTGTTGGGGTGGGAGGGGGATTCTTGCCACTCTATCACAACAGGTTGTTCCTAATAAGATGGGGAGGAGGGACCATCAGTGATGTGTCCTGGGCAGATGACTGCACAGGTAACCAGAGGAGAAAATTGAAACTGACTAAAATCACTGTCTTGCTTTGACTAGAGAAGAATAAATTTCCCCAAGAATTTAGAGTAGGGAGCAAAACTCAAAGACGATAGAGGCCAGGCAGATAAATGTTTGGAGCAAATTGGGTAGGTCTACATGAGACTACAGAGGGATTGCCTCTCTAAAGGCTCATCGGCCATTCAACTTTAGCCCATTGTTGCCATGTGGGGAGGTGAGTCCAGTGTTACCTGGATTTTTAGAAAAATCCAGCTTTTCTATGAAATCCCCCAGCTTTTAAGATAATTGGCTTCAAATCTGAATTTTTATAAAACATTCTGTAGGCCAAATATAACATATTTGGCCCAGATTGCTTGTTTGCATTAGAATTAAAAATATGAAATTTTTTCCAAACAACAGCAAACTGTTCAGTGGAAACTATGGAAGTTTTAATGCCCATCTCCTGTTGAAACTAACATTACCTCTTTGTCCTTTTTATCTGTTCCCATAGGTGATAGAGACATACGAATTGATGATATTCAGAAATTGAAAGTGGTGGAAAACTTTATTTATGAGAGCATGCGGTACCAGCCTGTTGTGGACTTGGTCATGCGTAAAGCCTTACAGGATGACATCATTGATGGCTACCCAGTGAAAAAGGGGACTAATATTATCCTGAATATTGGAAGAATGCATAGACTTGAGTTTTTCCCCAAGCCTAATGAATTTACTCTTGAAAACTTTGCAAAAAATGTAAGTGCCCTTCCTTAAAACCAAGTACGCCACTCTTTAAAATGTCAACTGTTAAATCCTCTCTGGTTCTGTGCTTGCATCAGGTACAAACAATTTCATTCTGTTTACTTGTTCCCCTCTGTAGCCTCACCAGAAACACACATTTTCCCTAGCTTGGACGATGGCTACCACATTTGTCTGCAAGGCAAGGGTGCTGGGTCTCTAGCTCAGGGAAGTATCTATATGGTGGCCACATAATAGGTCAAAATATGAAAAAGTCAAGACCTGAATTTGACTAAAATTAGGCAAATTTTGTTTAACCCAACCAACCTATTTTTCCATTTAAAGTTATCACTTTGTCATCATGTAAATTCAGCTATAGCAGTACCTAAGCCAAAAAAAAGTTCACTTCTGCTTCAGGTGGAAATCAAATGAGACCAAAAGATTTGGTCTTTGTAGTCTGCACTAGTTCTCATTCTAAACAGGACTCGGTAACTAGAAGAGCTTCGGCTTTTTCTTTTTCTGTCACTGGAGTATACTGGAGATCTGCTTCCTTCCTGTCAAATTTCAGGCAATGATTTTTTAACCCATTATTATCCAGATAGTTCCCTTAGTGCCTTCTTTTCCATTTGCATATGGTATAGAAAAATGATAACCCAGTTCTCTAATTTTTTCCTGTTTCTGTATGAGTGACCCATGCCATGTTGACAGTTGATCAACAAAACTTACTGGGCATTGGCTGGTGTGTCTCAGTTGGTTAGCATGTCATCCTATGCACCAAAGGGTCACACGTTCAATTCCCAGGCAGGGCACATACCCAGAATATGGGTTCCATCCCCAGTTGGGGCATGTGCAGGAGGTAGCTGATCGATGTTTCTCACATCACTGCTTCTCTCTCTCCTTTTTCCTTCCTCTCTCTCTAATATCAATAAAAAAAATTGTCCTTGGGTGAGGATTAAGAAAAAAAAAGACTTAGTGGGAATCTACTATACGTCAGGCACTATGTAAGTCCAAATGTGGACAAGACAGAAGATGTGATACCCATTAATTTTTTGCATAACTAAAAATATTTAGATGCTTGGCACTACTGGGTCAGAAATCTGCATCTTTCCCTAAATGTCATCAAGTTATATGACATTTCACAAAAGTAGTCTTTGCCTTGGTGATTTGCAGAGTAGTAAAGTTGTGGCCATCTCAGAGAGCTACTTGAGTAACAGTGGCTGTAATAAAATGATCTGCATTGCTTTACCCAGCACGTTTATATGAAAATCAAAACTGGGTACTGACCAAGGTTGGGTGTGTAGCACAGGGGGTGAATCAAACTGGATGGACAAAGGAGCTTAAATGGGTTACAGTCATTCATCTCAGTGAAGGAGCAGTATGGCTCAGACCCCAAACCAGAGCATTCTGATTGGCCAGTATTTTCAGGGTAAATCAAACAGCAACTACATGATTCTAGCCTTTAAAACCCTGGCTAACTGTCTGATCATTTTCATAGGTTCCTTACAGGTATTTTCAGCCATTTGGTTTTGGGCCCCGTAGCTGTGCAGGGAAATACATCGCCATGGTGATGATGAAAGTCATCCTGGTTACACTTCTGAGACGATTCCACGTGCAGACACCGCAAGGTCGAGTATGTGTTGATGAGATGCTGGTAAAAAATGACTTGGCCGTGCACCCAGATGAGACTAGCAACTTCCTGGATATGATTTTTATCCCAAGAAATTCAGACAAGTGCCTCAAATGCTGAAGAAGATTGGTCAGTACCTACTCTGGAGCACTTCTCATCAGTAGTTCACAAGAAAACCATTCATCTTTGCCAGATAGCATCATCCTCACAGTGAACATTCGGTGATCTATGGCATTTTACAGACATACCTCCTATGGGTTGTCAGCAAACTAAGAGACATCAGTCACCTGATCTTGTCCAAACCAGAGAAACAGAGCAAGAGAAAACACAGAGGCCAAGAGTTTGCAGGGGAAATGGTCAGTGAAGAAACTGCAGTCTTAAAGGCCCAATTCCATAACACGTGTTGGAAAAGATAGATCATCAGCAAAACTTATAACTGGCTTCCCATGGGATCACCACTGCCCTGCCCTGCCCCAAGAGCAGCTGAATGCCTGGGGCAGAATCACTCAAGTCGATTAGAAACACCAGGCCAATGTCTGGGTGTCTAGAGCCAAACACACCTACTAGTGTGAATAAGTGTTTGAGTTGGTTTCAGTGGGACTGTAGCACTCATAGTCTTTGGAAAAATACAAATTCAGCATTTGACTTTTCTTATGAATTGTATTTAATTAACTCTTATTTATCCACATGTGACTTGTCTATAGCAAAAGTTAAATAGGAGACTATCCTTTCTCAGTCTCTCAATTCATTCTTCAGCCACTTATTTCTTCTATAATAGATGTAGATTCGGGTAATACAAGGTAACTTAGAAATTATTCAAGTGAAATATAATTAGGACCATATATCTGCTGTAGGAACAGAAAGTCACACAATGCATTTCAAATTCAAATGTTTTTTCATGTGTGCATTATTTCTTAACTCCATTAGTATGGCTAACCGAGAAATAACTTTAAATAATGGCATTCAGTAACTCTTACAGCAATTCCAATGATGTGGGGGAGGAGAAGTCCTCTAAATCTATTTCTAATTCTACAGCCCAGTGGGTTCAAACTTCTATGGAGTGATACTCCCACTGCATTATCTTTCTCCCTCAACATTTCCCCCCTCTCTTTCTATGATCCCAAAGCCAAGGGCAAGTAGAGAATGTGATCAGTGTAGAACCCCTGCAACCATTATTTATCCTACCTCAGATTTAATAGTTGCTGTAGAGATTGAACAATTGTCTAGTTTATTGAATCGTTATATGTAGCCATGGATAAAATGTACACCGTGGAAGTAGCTCACTAGAGGAAATCAAATAGATCAGTTAATTTTTTAAATACCACTTGTGTTACAGTATGACTGTTTCAACTGAATGTCATTTAAAAGCTGAAAAATTAAACTCATTTACAAAATGTAAATGTTTGCCATTGAGTCAACTGTCACTGCAACATCTGAATATTCTTTTCCTCCTACTGTTTGGCAACAGGGCAACAGTTGAGTATAAAATGAGAATGTAAGCTCCTTGAAAGAAGGGGCTTTTTTCTTTCTTTTGTAATCCATCCCATATTTACTGTGAAGATCAGTACTGAATAGATGCTTGCTCATACTCTCAACTGACCCTAGAAACCAAGTAAAGAAGAGGCAGGTATTCTAAGAATTCAAGGATGGGCATTAGTAAAAAAGGAAATATTTGAACTTAAAATATTTGAATCATTTATATAGCCCCAACATATATATAAATATGCCCGTGTGCCTTGATATTTCTGTAGTCAGGTCTAGACAATCAGCTAAATAATTCAGACCTCTGAAATCAAGGCCAGGATTTTAGAATTAAAGTATCCAAGTTAATCCACTCGGTGATTATTAACACACTGTTTACTTTGCTCTGACTGGAGCAGCATAGTAAAGAAAAACAGACTGGATCAGTGTACCTCACCCATCCAATTCCCTTGGAACATCTATTATATTTTTTAATATGTTTTTATTGATTTTTAGAGAGAGAGGAAGGGAGAGGAATAGAGAAATAGAAACATCAATGATAATAGAGAATAACTGAATGGTTGCCTCCTGCATGCCCCACCCTGAGGATCGAGCCCACAACCCAGGCATGGGCCCTAACTGGGAATCGAACTGTGACCTCCGGGTTCATAGGTTGACATTCAACCAACTGAGCCATACCAGCTGGGCCATCTATTGTATTTTATATATATCTATGTAGCCAAGGCCTATGTCTATACTGTCAAAGTAAAATGAGAGGTTGATATAGTTGTGTATAGATAACACTGATACAAAAAATATGTTGTCCTCTTACCAATCTGGACCTTAGTAGACTCATCCATTAATATGGATGACAACAGCAGTGCTCTACAGTCATTTCCAATGCTTTGGTTCTGTTATTATCTACACTAATAAAAGAGAAACATGGTAATTAGCGTACGACCGCTACCCTTCCCATTGGCCAATCAGCATATCCTTATGCAAATTAACTGTCAGCCAAGATGGAGCCCGGCAGCCAGGCAGCTGGAAGCGAACATGAGGCTTGCTTGCTCCAGTGACTGCGGACTCCAACATTCCCCGCCTGACTTGCCAGCCTCTCAGCTGGCAGTTTGAAACATTCTAACAAATATAGGCCGGGATCTCAGAGCTGGAGTTATACATTGTTTCGATTATAGAACCGAAACAAACCAGATACCTGCTCTCAGAGCTAGAGCCAGAGCTAAAGCTGGCCCAGAATAAAATAAAATAAAAAGGAGCGGTTGGGAGCTTCAATCAACAACCGCCAGCCTGAAAGCAGCCCTCAGCCCCTCACCCAGACTGGCCAGGCACCCCAGTGGGGACCCCCACCCTGAAGGGTGTGTGACCAGCTGCAAACAGCCATCATCCCCTCATCCAGGCTGGCCAGGCACCCCAATGGGGACCCCCACCCTGATCCAGGACACCCTTCAGGGCAAACCAGCCGGCCCCCAGGCCTCTATCCTACATAGTAAAAGGGTAATATGCCTCCCAGCACCAGGATCAGCGGAGCTGCGAGGCCTCCTGGCACCGGATCAGCGTGACAGGGGGCAGCGCCCAAACCCCCTGATCGCCCTGTGGCTCTGTGTGTGACATGGTGCGGCGTCCCAACCCCCTGATCGGCCCTGCTCTGTGTGTGACAGGGTGCGGCGCCCCACCCCACCCCCCCACACACACACACACACACAGGCCCTGCTTTGTGTGTGACAGGGTAGAGCCATAACCTCCACATCGGCCCTGCCCTGAGTGTGACAGTGGCGGTGCCCCAACCCCCTGATCGGCCCTGCTCTGTGGGTGATAGAGGGCGGTGCCCTAACTCCCCTATCGGCCCTACTCTGTGCGTGACAGGGGGGAGCTCCCCAACCCCCTGATGGGCCCTGTTCTGTGCGTGACAGGGGGGAGCTCCTCAACCCCCTGATCGGCCCTGCTCTGTGCATGACAGGGGGCAGCGCCCAACCCCCTGATTGGCCCTGCTCTGTGCATGACAGGGTACAGAGCCCCAACCCCCTGATGGTCCCTGCTCTGTGCGTGACAGGGGGCAGCGCCCCAACCCCCTGATTGGCCCTGCTCTGTGCGTGACGGGGTAGCGCCGCAACCTCCCCATCGACCCTGCCTTGAGTGTGACAGGGGGCGGTGCCCCAACTCCCCAATCGGCCCTACCCTGAGCGTGACTGAGGGTGGCATCGCAACCTCCCAATCCACCTTGCTATGTGCATGACAGGGGGCGGCACCCCAACTCCCCAATCAGCCCTGCTCTGAGCCTGACCAGGGGCTGCACCTAGGGATTGGGCGTGCCCTCTGCCACCGGGAGCAGGCCTAAGCCAGCAGGTCGTTATCTCCCGAGGGGACCCAGACTGCGAGAGGGCACAGGCCAGGCTGAGGGCCCCCCCCTTCCCCACCACCCCCCCCAGTGCACAAATTTTTGTGCACTGGGCCTCTAGTCTTACCTAATAATAGACAAACATGGTAATTGACCATACCTTTGCTACGCCTCCCATTGGCTAATCAGTGAGATATGCAAATTAACTGCCAACAAAGATGGCGGCCGGCAGCCACGGAGCTGGAACGAGCAGGAGGCTTGCTTGCTCCAGTGATGGAGGAAGCCAAGGTTCCCTGCCTGCAGCGGCCGGCTCTAAGCTACACTCAAAGCAACAAAGTTTCAATTATAGAAGGTAAATAAACCCCAGATACCTGCTTTCAGCCGGCCGTGACCACTGAGCTGGAACCTTGGGTTGCCCCTGGCAATGGAGGAAGCCAAGCCCTGGCCGGCTCTGAGCTCCACTCCAGGCTACAAAGTTTCAATTATAGAAGGTAAATAAATCCCAGAAAAAGAAAAAGAAAAAAAGGAGAGGCTGGGGGCTTCTGTCGCTGGGGAGGCTTGGCCAGCCTGAAAACGACCCTCAGCCCTTCACCCAGACTGGCCAGGCACCCCAGTGGGGACCCCCCACCCTAAAGGTGGTGTGTCCAGCCTGAAAACAGCCATCAGCCCCTCACCCAGGCTGGCCAGGCACCCCAGTGGCACCCCAGTGGGGACCCCCCACCCTGAAGGGCAAACCAGCCAGCCCCCACCCGTGCACCAGGCCTCTATCCTATATAATAAAAGGGTAATATGCAAACTGACCCTAACAGCAGAAAGACTGGGAATGACTGGTCACTATGACACCCACTGACCACCAGGGGGCAGACGCTCAATGCAGGAGCTGCCCCCTGGTGGTCAGTGCGCTCCCACAGGGGGAGCTCTGCTCAGCCACAAGCCAGGCTGACGGCTGCCAGTACAGCAGTGGTGGTGGGAGCCTCTCCTGCCTCCTCAGCAGCACTAAGGATGTCCAACTGCAGCTTAGGTCTGCTCCCTGCTGGCAAGTGGACATCCCCTGAGGGCTGCCGGGCTGCCAGAGGAATGTCTGATTGCCAGCTTAGGTCCAATCACCCCGGGAGCGGGCCTAAGCCAGGAGGTGGTCATCCCCCAAGGGGTCCCAGACTGCAAGAGGGTACAGGCCGGGCTGAGGGACACCCCCCCATGCACAAATTTTTGTGCACCGGGCCTCTAGTTTTATTCATAAACATAACACTGGCCAGACCTTGATGTGGGGCTTCCAGCCTCCAGAACTGTAACAAAATTAATTTTGATTGTTTAAGCCACTCAGTCTATAGCAGGGGTCCTCAAACTACGGCCCGC